GATGACGATGCCAATCCATGCCATTATATTGCAATTATGCGAACAACCCCCACGGAAGTGTCCTTCGCATCGCTTCGATATTTCCACCCTTGGCGTCGTTAGGACGGTGCGCTCCATGGCGTCATTTCGTTCACAAATTTCGCTTTTGGACAACAATTTATTTGGCTGGCTATATGAGTTGTTGTTGCTGTTGTTGTTGTTGGTTTTATTGCTGTTTTCTTGGCGCACGCGACTCAATACACGACGCTTAGCTAGCAACAGACCCACATGTTTGTTGTCAACAAATATCAGCTCCAATTTTTATGCTGCGTGCCACTAGACGCTAGTTGGCAGCTGCAGCCGCTATATAAAAGATAAAATCGCTGGCCTCACTTGTATGCAGCTCATGGTGGCAGATACAAAAGTATCTGTTAGTTGGGCGCAGTCAACAGCGAGAGCAACAACAAAGGCTATAACTATTGCTAGAGCGTGCGCCTTGTCTTTAGCGACCCGTTGTTATTGCAACCTATGCAGCTTTTGTCGCAATGTCAAGAAACTTGCTTTTCCAGCTTCAGACGCGGCAACAGATACTTTGAGTCCTTAGCTTACGTAAGCACGCCTCAACAAATTCAAATCGAACTCCAATACCGATGATGCATTGAATATGGTTTAAATATATAAATATTTATAATTATGAATACAAGAGTAACAGTTTGTGTTTGTAAGGAATTTATGCGTGGAATTAATGCTGACGGAATCAATCAATCTAGATTCTATCTCATGTTCCATGCAGTGAGAGCTGATGTTCAGCTCACACTAGTTTCAGTTTCAATCTCCTTGGAATAACTTTTTCCATTAAGCTTATTTCTCATACTGTACCGTGGAATATAAAAAATATATATAGTATATGTATAAGATATAAATATAAAGAGATCACGATATTCGTTCTCTAGAGGAGTGAAAATACTAACTACATCCGGTATCTTCGAAATCCTATTTCATTAAAGTTGAAATTTGGTATATATTTTGAGGCTGACATCTGAATATCAAAAACAACTCTTGGACATATCTGCGCCCATACAGAAAAGCTGTGGTGTTCAAAAGTTTAAAAGAAGCTGACTAAAAATTTAAAAACTTGACAATTGAGTTACTGTTGAGCTCCTGTATCGATCACCTTAAAGTAATTCAAACAGCCCTTATGAGGCGTGGCATATCGAAACTATGTACTTTGTAATTTCCGCAATTTCGGAGCGTGAGCTTGAAAATCTAAAATTTTCTCAAGATTCCTTTAAAGATTGACTAAAAATGGAAAATTGGAATTGAATTTTCAGTTCGAAATATTGTAAAATGAGATAAATGCTCACAGATTCAGTAATAGCATTTGCTGTGTGCTAGTCAATCTGGGTATTTTTTGGAAGACCCTCACCCGTAGAGGTCAACGCAGCTCACTTAAACTTGTCACATCAAGTGGCTTTGTGCGAAGTCATTCGCCTTTCGCCGAGGTGTGGAGGTGGAGATGTCTGCGTGACCACGAAACTTTGGAAACTTTGGAAGCATTTGCATGCTTCGAGAGTCTTGATTTGTGTAAGGCAAAACTTTTCTATCTCTGCTATATTGCTCCATTTCCGAATGCAAGTTTTCAAATACATGTGCTGGAATTTATCTTTAAGTGGAAGCGATACACCCTTAAATACGAAAATATATATATTTTCTATGTATACATATTGTTGTTGCTTGTTTGCTAGCCTTATCTTATCGGCTAATCTGGCATACCAAAGGCGCACTCGATTGCCAGTTGCTGTTTCTGATGCTGGCTGGGGCACTGCTCTGGTGCATGCGTTCTCTGTGTATAAAGATACTTCAATTGAACCTATTGTAATTAATACAAGTGCGCACTGGCTGAGACATTTGCCAGCAAGGGGGAGAACTGGGGAGGGAGGTCTGTGCCTCTCTCTCTCTCTCTCTCTCTTTCTGTCATTCTCTCTCCCCATCTAGTGTGTTGTGGACTTCGAGAACTGCGGCTTTTTTGCGGTCTATCAATATAAAAATGCGAAGCCCCAGCAAAACCCGGTGGAAACCCACCCGGAAGTCAAATTCCATTCGCAGTCGAGGCTGCTCTAATGCGTTTCGTTTTCCATTTGGCTCAGTTTGTTTGCTCTTCTTCAAATGCGGGAGCGAGTGCAGCAACAACGCCTGTATTTGACAACCCAAAAGATACAAGATACATTCAAGCAATTCCATATCCATTAGCCAAACGTATGGGTGGGTCGGCACGATTTCGTTGGCGCCCTTAAGTGTAGTCAATTAATAACCCAGTCAGCGGCAGTTGCTCTAATGCTTTGTCAAGCATTTGTCACTGCATTCTGACAAGTAATCGACAATGGCAAACATTCCTTAAGTGCAGTAGTTATATTGAATAGTAAATGCAATTTGCATGGGACTTTTATTTTTCTTAAATAGTTATAACTCTTATATCTCGTTGGCTTATTGCTGGGTTATAGATATACTTGTACACAACAAAGGGTTCGTATATAATGTGCATTTTATTATTGGAATTCGGGTATTTTGAATAAATTACAAAAACAAAATACTGTTCTTCAGATATTTCTAAGAAAAATGTGGCAGACCCCATTAAGCATATATTCTGATCAGCCCAATGAATTTGTACGCCACAAGCTCTAGAGACCTGAATTTATAAATTTATGTATTCAAGTTCTTCGCAGAATATTTCCTAGTCGGTAAATTCTGACGTGATCACTTTCACTTATTTGATTTTATATTGCAGTTAAGCAGTTTTTATTGACAGATATATTATGTGGGTCTATTATCATGAAGAGAATATATACGAGTTAGGACATATAGTCTAATTGGCTTAACTCTTCTTGATTGGACTCAGTGTGGCAATTTGACGATAAGTCTAGAGCTGAATTGCCCATTTACTATTTGATTGACCTATTTGTGAAACTATTAAGTATCTTAATGATTATCGTCAACAATTTCTTATAGAATACAATTTAATACATATGGATTAACGCTGCATTCAAGCATCTAATGAAAAAGTATCTTAAAACTATTCTCAAATTTACTGACTAAATACATGTAGTAGTTTAACTCACAGCTTGAATTAACTAGTCCAAATAAAACTTAAATTGGTCTATATTCTATGAAGCAATCATGAAAATATTTTTAATATTTCTAGTTGATTTAAAATAAAATTTTGGACACATCAAAATATGTCCAAGAATCTTTCGCTACCAAATCGAACGACCTATAAAATACGCAGCAGCAGAATTTTCCATTTTTCGCTGTCTGCGTCGTTTCACTCTGACTCAAGTCGTAGTGGCTTTACCTGTTTTCTTCAATGCATTGCAGAAAAAAATCAATTAATAGTGTGATGGGGAAAATCAAGTTAGCAGGTGAAAACTTGAATTAAAACCGTAATTTACTTGCATTGAATTTCCCGGAAAACGCGACAAATTCAGTTAAACATTTTTTTATCATTAATCATTCATTCCTGATTTTATTATTATTATTATTATTTTTTTTTTTTAATTAAGCGTCAATAACCGTAAATAAAGTGAAAAGAGTATAAATAAATATATAAGTAATATATTATTTATATTGAATAGATTACTGCAGGCATGGCAATCCCAAAAATTGTTTATCTTTCATAATTTCATAACATTTCAGACCTTTTGTGAGCTTTTATACAGATTCATCAAAAATGTTACGTTTTCTGTCGCTGTAGTAAATTGGAAAAATCTTCTGCAAAGATTATGTTTCAAGATAAAAACAAAATCTTTCAATTTTAGTATTGACATCTTGTACAGATAGATATAAATAGGAATTATTGATAACCGAAGGGCAGAATTATTTTCTTTTTAAATTTATATTTAATTATATAATTATTTGACATTAGCCCAACTAAAACTTCTGAGAATGAAAGCATATCTTTTATTTCTCGTTTGAATCTATATTTTCTATAAGACTATTTTCTATAAGACTTTTACTGAGCCTAGATTTAAAAACAATTTCCAGCTTGAAGACATATATAACACCAGTCAATTATTTAAAATTATTAATCATTTGAATATTTTATTATATTACCCCTTCTTTGGCTTAAATTTATATTGCAGACAAAAAGGTCAATATAAATATTATATTCGAAAGTCAAACTAAAATTGTAAACTAACTCAGGCACGTTGTAAATAAAATAGAGAAATATTTTTTTTTTTAGATCAATGCCGCAGGAAGGCGTTCAACAAAGCTACATAAGTAAATATTTGGTGGCCTGGCGGGAAATATAGTATGTATGAATAATTAAATTGGGTCATCGATGGATTTGCCGACATTTGGCCAAATTAGTTGGCGCTAGCAAATGGGCCAAATAGTCAGTAGCTGATATGTTAATGCTGACTCTGATCTCTGTATGTGTTAGCGTTGACGCGTCTGGGTTAATAAACTTGTCGTCTCTCTGATGATAAATCAACTCGTCTTTGCATGACAAAAGCTGTTGAAGCTCTTAACTTACAGTCGTTTAAGCTGCTTACAAATCGACAACTTGTGCCCTACCCTACAGACACTTACATATACATATATATAAATACAAATGCCCATATGATAATACACTTATGTGTGCATATATACAAGCTTATTATGTTTATTTTGGATTGTGTATAGCCAAATCAACGGAATTTTCTGGCACAATGCGAAAAACAACATGAAGAAGCCGGCATGCAACAAGGCAGAATATCTCAGCTCAATCAGCCATCTGACAATAGTCTTTAATTGACCTTTAAACGAATTCTTTTGTAAGTTGCTAGAAACGGAGTTCTGTTTTATAATGACATGTATATTAATATTTGTATCTATAAATACATATACAAATATACATATCTATACCGAAAATTTCATTCATTTACAGCTTCTGTTTTGGTTAGGCTCTTGGATTAGCAGATTTATATAATCTAAACATATTTTACATAATCTAAATTTGTTTATCTTTTTTCAGTTTAACTCACATGATTAAGGCGTGCTGCTATTTTGGCATGCTCCTCCTGGTAGGCTTTGCGCGCCTTCCGTTTGTCCTGCGAGAGGTGAGCGAGCTTATCGCAGATCACCTCCAGCTGTTCGGCATTCAATTTGAACTGCTTGGCCTGCTGATCCAGTTCATCCATATAGGATCGCCAGGATTTTGTGATAAGGCTGCCTGAAATGATTAAGAAACAAAGATTTCAATTATCATTGTAAACACTTTTAGCATGCAAATTTCTGCTTTGTGACTCACTCATCGATAGAATTTTATAAGCTCATTTTGCAGCTGATAAATGATTCATTCACATCGATTGTAACCGAATCTCTTTGAATGGGAGCCAGACTTCAACTACAATACTACAACTCGTTATTCAATAGTATTACAGTCGAGTTAGGCCTTCTAAGATTTCATTTACCTCGATCCAAATAACTCTATATCTGAAGTTCATGGCCAAGGTTAAAACAAATTAAGAGTACGTCACGAAATTCATTACAAAAAAGGCAATAAAGAAAACCATAGCAAGAAAACTAAATCGAAAAAGAAATTCTATTTGTGGCACATCGACGATCAAATACCCTTGTAGAAAGTTGGTTTCATATACTTTAAATTTAATTATAAACTATTAATTAAATGAAGTAAAGCTCAAGCATTTTTTATAAGGAGTCTAGGTCTGAAGTCTAGCTTTGTTAAAGAAACATAGATTCTCTGGCTTTTTCTATCTATTCTCTAGTCTCCATTCTCTAATTGCAATTCATTCAATGATTTGTTTAATATCCTCCACAAGGTAAAACATTTTACGAACATCTGCTGTTTCTGGAAATATCCGACCGATAAATAATTTGCCTGCAATTGTAAACAATATTCGTATTTCCATTGCTTTCTTAGCCAGCGACAGAATAATGTGGAAAGCAGCAATAGCAATTGCAACTTGGCAATGCCGTTTGGCGTTTGGCGTTTGGCGTTTGCCAAGCCAAGAAACGAACACGAAAAATTATACCAATTATTTATTTACGAGTTTATCTGGCATTGGTGTGGCCAGAGCTAGAAGCGACTAGAAGCAGCTGCACTTTGTCGACAGTTTGATGAGCTTGGCTGGCAAGGTGCACGGCTGTATCTTTAGGATACAGATACATAGATGGATAGACTTTAGCGGCGTCAAAACAATTAACAGCTGACACAGATCAATATTGTAGTTTATATATAAAGATCTGTGTAGAAATATATTTAGATATACATATGATGTATCTGTATATTTATATATATCGTTATGAATAGATATTTATAAAGTATTTGGCTGTTTCAAAGCAAGAAAATGTTGTTATTATGTTAGTATCAACAAATTCACAGTAGAGCAAAGTCTTTGTCTCTTGAGTCAAGTAATATGATTCTGAACTGCTATTTACATAGACTCAGAGCCTGAAAAACAATTTTATGTGCATTTTCAGCACTCAGTTTCAATTGGAGTCAATGGGAAAAAGTAATATTTCTTAGCCAGCATTTCATGGCATGTCATCAGCGAATTACTCAGCTTTGCTTAAAGGTTATATTGCATTGTTGATTACTTTTAAGGATAACAACAAAATGTCTGGTGTATATATACATACACATAGAGCTAAAAAGTTTGGAAACTGTGAGAAAAATGCAGCAATGATGTCATTTGGCTTTATAGGACTTAACTGTTATATGCTAAAGATCAAAGGTTAAACTGCAGCCTAATTGAATGTTATTCGCTGGTAGTATTAAAGTTTATATGAAGCTTCAAATATGCCAAGACAAAAAGATAAAGTTTTTTTTAATACTTTGAGTAAATATTGCTCTTTAAATTTTAAATTTGCCTATTTATTCCTTTACTTGCCTTTGTCATTTCAATTTTTTGGGACGGGTTGACCAGCCTGATTGGGGACTGACTAAAAGCTCTCTTAGCCTTACCCCTGCACTTACGTCTGCTCTTACCCCTGCCCTTACCCCTACCCTGGGCAGTCGCCAGCGAAAGTGAAAGCTTTGCGGCGCATCGCTCGCCGGCTTATCGGGCTCTTGTGACTAATGGCTGTGTGGGCAGTGCTTGCAGCGCGGCTTTGGCCAGGCCTTTCCCAAGCGACCCCAAACTGCAAAACAAGACTTATCGAGTGAGTAATGCAGAAGTTTAGTGCCCTGATAACTCAGCGTAAATTCCAAAAATGCTAATTTATGACGTAGGAGGAGTTGGAGTGCAAGCACATGTGTGATTCCATCTATAATCAAATACATATGTGCAAACATTTGCGTCTGTTTATGCAGCAAAATATTCTACATATTTTCAATGAGGTGACATATTGTTGTTATTTTCATTTAATCATTTTTTATTTATGACTAGAAATTTGTATTATCAATAGGACAGAAATGAAAAGTTATGACTTATTGGAAGAGTATTTTAAAAATTATTATCTTATTCATATCATGCAGAAATTGAGGACAACTTCAGCCTTTGATAAGGGAACAAAGAGAATTTAATTCATCAACAACCATATCCACTCCTCACAAAACAGAGTTTATTTGGCAAACAGACTTACCTAGTAAACCTAAAGGTGATTCGGAAGTATTCTTAAAATCTTCGCTTATTCAAATTTTTTTAATCTTTGGTAAATAAAATAACTAAAACAAACCTATCAAATTCATAAGATTCCCTACCATAATGAGTTACTGGGACTCTAATGCACTTCGTATTTCTATCTAGCACAATTTCAATGGTACTTGAATGTGTTACGAACTGATAAGATAATATTACACCTAGACAGGTTTCTCTAGTCTAACTGCATCGATTACATTGCAAACTCAAGTATCAGGAGAATCAAATGCCGTATTCTACTTCCGTGTGAACATTTTCCAATATCCAATTGATCTCAATTGCATTTTGGAAGATTTATTACCAATTAATTTTGGTTTCGCTTTGTGTTTTTCAAATGAACTATTCGAAACAAATTTCTATTGTGTTTGTTTTTAACTATTTTAGATGAGATTATGGCTAAACAGGGATTATGTTACTTAAGGTATTTGCTGAGTCTGCAAATCCATTTATCTAAGCTTATTTTTCAGGTTAATAGCGGATTTTTAACCTGAATAATTGAGTTGGAAAGATTTTGTTGTTTTTTTAATAAGCGCTGATAGCTAAGAGATTACTTATGTATATATGATATTAATTGCTTAAAGATACATATTTTTGGAGATATTATTTCCTCTATTATTATATCTATTGATATATTGTAAATGTTTTTAAAGATATCAGAATTCCATTATCCATACAAAATAATTAACTAAACCTCATGCTCTATAGCAAGAACCAATACCTAAGGTAGAAAATAATACTTTTTAAAAATATATCGTTTATTAAATAAAAATACCTATGAGACTTCGACAAACTCAAAATCCTTTATGTGATATAAAGTCCTCTCCAGCTTGCTTAGGAACTGATCCCTATATACAGTATTACTTATTTTGTAATATATTTTATTTTTTAAGATATAAAAATTGTATTATCCATACAAAATATCAAACTAAACTTTAGGCTCTATAGCAAGAAATATTATCTATAGGAGTGAATAATATTTGAAAACAAAATGTAATGAATATGTGAGCTTCGACAAACTCCAGATCTTAGCTGGGATGTAAAGTCTGCTGCAGCTTGTTTAGGAGCTGGTCTTTAGATGTAGTATTATTTCGTATGCAGAGCACTTCCGGTATACAGAGCACTCAAACAATTTCCAGCTGTCGTTCCGCATATGACAAACAGAAATTAGTTTCACTTCAAAGTTATTGTGTTTGGAGTGTTATGGCAATGAGGTCGCACTACCTGCAAACACGGCAATCGGAGCTGTCGCAGAAATGTTATTCAAGCAACAATTGCATTGAAAGCTATCTTATCAATTAAGTATCGGCAAACAGAGATTCTTGCATTGGAGAGAGTGCAGAGCGCTTGGCTTACCTTGCATTTCATCAGCCCGATCAATTTTGAGACCCTGTTGAGCGACGGCTATCAAGCCGATTGCGTACTCCTTGTCGCATTTGGCCTTCATTTGGATGGATCGTTTCATTGTCTCCATGAGACGCAGCTCCGCGTCTTGGCGCACGATTAGCGCCTCGTGAGCGGCGCGGCCCTGCAGGGCCGTGGAGAAGCCCATTTTGGCTCTGGTGTGAAATATTGCTTAAACGCTCGACGCTTCAAGTTTTTGGACGTATTTCTCTCTTAAATTTTATTTATTTTTCTTTGCGTTTTGCAAATGAGTCACAATTGCATGCTTAAATTGAACGAAGCGAGGGCTACAAAAGTATTAAACAACAAAATTAACTTTTCTCGAAGAGCATTGCGCAACGCGACACCGAAATTCACAAACATGTGGCAAACACTTGTTGCATGCCAATATTTATGGCTTTAAGCATGTGCTGCTGGCCAGAGTATTTTCCACTCTCTTTTTTGACACTTTTGACACTGTGCACACTGTGCACTCGAAGGGCCTTCAGTCGCCGCCACTGAATCGAATCAATTAATATTTTCGTCACACACACATTGGAAATTTCTTAAGAAATACAATACAAATAAAACTTTCACATGCACTGATTGTTGCTGTTGTTGTTGTTTGTTGCACTTGCTGCGACATTTGCTAAATACACCAGGCGACATTTCAATAACGACTTCAGAAATAAAAAACAAAAAACCCGCCTCTGGCAGCGAAGAGCCAAAAATAATTGCCAACACTTTTGGCTAATTAGCGGAATGTTTATTTTTGGACAGACCATAAATTAACATGATTAAATGACGTTTCATTTCAGTTTTCAGTGCTCTTTTTGTCTGTCTCACGTCCGTCTCTTTGTCAGTGGAGTTGAGCCTCTGAAGATTTGAAGATTTTCCAAACTGCGTTTTTTCAATAATTGTTACTCTTTTCGTCGGCGAGTAAACTTGTTTTTCCCGCTCGCGGGCAAGCAAACAAAAATAAACATTGGCCCAGTCGCGGTGCAGTCAATAAGGAAAAGACGCGACGGCGACGGCGACGGCGACGGCGAGTGCAGCACAAGTACGTGTATCTTACGGATACACAGATACTGGCACTGATACAGAACTGCGCCAGAACCACAGCAACAGCAACGGCAACAGTTTGACGTATTGTTTGTCTGTGCGTGTTTCGTTGTTCGTCTATATCGGAGTTTACCAAGTCAACTAAAACATAAACGGGTTAGACAGCCACTGCCACAGCCGCTGCCGCTGCCGCTTCCACTGCCACAGGCAAGAGGCAGGCAACCACAGCTTCAACTGCGATGGGGAACATCTGCACTTATAGATAAATTACAACAGCAACAACAACAACAATAACAACAACAACAGCGCCAAGAACCTGAACGTGTAAACGAAAGCGCCGTTATAAGTATATATAAAATTTAATTTTAAATTCATAAACATAAATGCACTCGCAACAGTGTAGAGAAGATCGCTTAGCAATTTTCATATAATTTTGCAGTAAACTTTTCGCAATTTCTTTTACACTTCATATAGTCGCACATAATCTATGGGCGGTTCGAGTTGGGGCGGGGCTGTCACTTGCAATTCGCGTAATCAGCGCGTAAACTTTTTGCACATACTACATTATCTCTGCATTAATATAAACATAAATAGTTTGGGCTTTATATGTGCGTATAAATATTATATGAATTTATCAAACTGTTGAATGCTGCCGCGACGGTTACCATGGAGACAAGTTTCGTAGCGTAAGATGCTTCGCCCTCTCACATGGCCAATTTACAGAGCAATCCAACAGATGCCAATGCCAATAATACAGAGGCGCATAACGCACACACAAATCGGATGAAATCTCGATCTTAACGCAACGTGCCGAACGAACCGTCTGCCTCGAATGCTCAGCGCGAACTGAAACTCTGCAGACAATGGCGCTGATGAAAATGCCGACCAAAATGACGTTTCGCTGCGGCGAAATCGCACGAGAGAGAGAGAGAGAGAGCTTGAGAACCGGTTCTGCACAACCCAATAAACAAATCGTGCGGTACACAAGCGTCTCTCAGCAAGCGAGTTCTAAAAAGGAAATGTTTTATTTCACTTTTCATAATTGAATGAAATTTAATTCTTATTGTTTTACTACTGTATATAGTTAGACATTCCCGGCATTATAAACATTGATAGCTGGCATGATTTTAGAAATTTAACGAAAGATTATTTCCTGGCATCTAAGGGTGGCCTTATTTTGCATACTTATGAAGAAATTTGTTTCTTATTACTTTTACTTTGAGTATTATTAATATTAATATTAAATGTAGCCTTTACTTGTATTTAATTTTATCTTTGCATCTTGCTTTAATCTCAATTTCAAATTGGTCCAATCAATATCGATTGGGAGTGCATTTTAGCTGAGCAAAGGATAAAGGAGTTAACTGTCTATGAACTGTCTATGCACAGGCACTGCGGCAGACAGGCAGCCTGTTGCCCATTTAACTGGCCCCAGCCTCGTCTGGTTATTTTTATGGCTCTTCCCGCCATTCATTGTTGTCTTGCTAGTGTTTTTGGGGTTTACGATGTTTGCCGTTGTCTATGAGATGGCTAACGCGCTGTGTTCGATTATACTCGTTCACGAAATGAAACGAGTATATTAATATCGTGCTATTTCCAACTGAACTCACAAAATTTGCCAGATATAGAAGATGGAGATTTGAAATTTATAAACAGTACTTCTGGCTACCTTCGTCGTAGAAAATACTGAGATATCTGGAGGCGTGGCGTGGAATTTACTCTATCCTTTATAAATGATTCGGGAATTTGAGACTTACATTTACATGTAGGGTTTATAAATAAATAAAAATGTTGATATATATATATATATATATATATATATATATATATATATATATATATATATATATATATATCTATTTGCAGGGACATCTACAGAGAAGTTAAATCCTTAATACTAAATGATTCTAATTCAAATATTGTGAAATGTTTTATTTTGTTTTAATGGCTAGAAGTCCTCACCATTTCATACTTCACTAAATCTTAGAACATCTTACATACCCAGTGAATACAAGTCATTATTATTAGTCTTAGCTATGCTTAATCGCAAAAAAAAATCTGTAAATTTGTTCATTATTCGCGTGCGAGTCTTATACAGTCGGTTCAGCCCGATTGCAATGCTTTCAGTTGTTTTACTTGTTCCCCCACAATGCATCGATATCCTCATAAACAATTTATCTCGATGGCGACACTCCTAAGTTAACGTTCCTTTATTTTCCTTATGCTGTGGATGAATATTGAATGAATATTGTGCAGACTTTGCAGATATCTGTGATCACATCCTGTTTGTTGAACATCAACTTAATTAATGCAGTTCATTTGCTCTTTTAAAAGTGTATTCTGCTTTAATTGAAAGCAACCTTAGCATTCTAGCTAAATTTCTAATTTTAGCCGGGACTATTGTTGCTTTGATTTATTTAGTTTTCGATTGTTTTGAAAACGCTTGAGAATTCACATGCTGAGAGAATGCGTCGGGCATGTGTTTGTACATCAGAAGAAAATATAGGCATATCTGCTGAACCTTTGAAAAGTTCGCAGCCAATTGAAGCTAATGAACAAATTATATGGCATTTGCACAGTGGAAGATAGGAGACCTTATGCAAGAACTCCACAACGAGCTGAATTCTTTCTCCACTTACGCATATTGTCCGTAACGACCTGAAATTATATCGCAGTAAACTGGAACTGGAACTGCAAGACAATAGCAACTCGCAAAATTGTGTAATAGAAGACATAAACAGAAACATAAATTGCCCTGGGTATGCGTTGAATGTGAGAAGGAAAACTAAATAATTCAGTAATATGTATGAATAGTGCTAAACATAAGCAGTTAAAAATTTTCACATTTCCTTAACTCCCTTCGCTTGCATAACAAATATTTAATAACTTTTCATTCGCTCTCTCTCTCTCTCTCTCTTTCTCGATCTGTCTCTTTTTCTGCTACACCAATGCATAATTACAGTAGAAATAAAAGACTTTTGCTGCACTCTGAAAAAATTCCAAGCAACAGTTCCTTGCTGTTTAGCATTCTGCTCAGATGGAACCTATTGAGGGACCTGCCCATAGCAATACCATTTTATTGGTATGTGTAAGAATTTACACTAACAACTACAACAACAATAACCATAGCGACGATGATAAATGAAAAGACAATGACAAGAACTACAGCAGTAAGTGAAAGATAGGGCTGAACGACAAAATACCCTGTAGACAGCGAGAAGGTGCTGGAATTTCATTTATAATTTCCTTTGATAGAGGTACATTATTATCAGCACTAATTGAAAGTAAGTCCTATTTATCTATGTATTCTAAATTATAAAAATTGACATAAAAATAAAACTGAAAGATCGATAAAACGCAGTTATAATGGGTTAAAGATAATCTCAAATAAATTGTTCACTGTATTTAATATTGATCTAGCTTTTCAGCAATTTCTAATAATATTTGACAATCAACACCAAAGTACTTGGAATCCTCTTCAGTTATTAAAAAAAAAAAAAAACCGCTTCAGTTCCTTACATTATGACAAATTGGCATTTTGGAATGTACAGAAATCTTCAATTCTTAAATACAGGGTATTCAATTTAAACAACAATATGAATGCCGAACAATATAATGCCGAAGAGATATCAAGAGTGAGAAGTAGAAATTACAATGTCTTTCAAGCAACAAATATTGCAGTATTCTTTGTATTTAAATGTAAATTTAAGTTGATTTACGTGTGAGCACATACACATAAATATATTCATGTATATATATTTAGATGAATATTTATTCATATGTATACGAATAGATACATATATTTTCATTCCAACCACATACACATTTATTTGTTTATATTTTATAATAATATTCTTCGCAAGCTATAATCACACAAGCTTTCGAAATTTAGGGACCATGAATTATTTAATCTTTCTCTAACGGCTTTTAATGTGCTGAATTTAAATCTATAATGTGATGTTAACGAAAAGTAAGTTATTTTTTAGCTACAGCTCAAGTACTTTTATTTTCACTAATTCTATTTAATAATTTTATAGATTAATTATTTTATAAGGAAATATGCCTATATTTTTATAAGATCTACTTATTTTAAACTTCATTATTAGATTTACCTTTATTATGGGAGTTGGTTAAAAAAAAAATAGATGCTCATAATATAGAAAAAGAAATAGAAATATTTTATTATTATATGCACACCAGAAAGCTATGAAAAAGTATGATCTGAATCTTGGCGATGAAATGTCAAACATTTTTGTTAGTCTGTCGGATTTTACTATAATATATACAAATATAAATGTTGTATACCCAATATCAAAAATATATAGTGGATATATCTACATCCATTGAGGTTATGGCCAACTGTATATTCCTAAATTATCTATCTAGCCTTAAAATCACGTGTAGGTAACTTATTGATAAGATCCCCTACAGATCTGTTACCCATATTTACTAGGAGTGAGGCATATCGATGCCGGACGACATAATATTGTTTACTAATCTGTTATATTTTAGACAAGAGAGAATTATAGTTGCTATAAAACTTCCTAATATGTGTATCTAATTTGGCAAGACAGAAATCGAATCGACAAAGTCTGAGATATTTGGGGTTAATCCTGTAACCACAACTGATTTGAATATCAGCTTTGGTATATACATACCCCTTAATAATAAAATTCACAATATATGTAAAAAAATATTTTTTGTTAGATCAGTATCAGTGGGGCACCTGCGTGGATTGACTTAGTCCGAAATTTTAAAACTATTTTTGAATATATCCTTTAGTCAAATATTTGTATTTATCCTTAAAGAATATTATATATAATCATGATCCCTGTTTATTTATAATTTATGAGGACTTATTAGAAATATTATTATATTATTAAAAATAAACCAATACAAAACTTCAACCATAAAAATTTACGTAAGCTTCAAAATCAAAATGGTTTTCAAAATCAAGACATTAATTAATATATAGGCAATGCTATATATTAAATTTATTATTTCGATACAAAAATATGTATGATAAATATATGTATTCTTTGAAAATTAATGACAATACTATATGTATTTATACATATGTATATTTATAATTTTCTAGATATATACATGTTAATGCATTGTACATATTTATGAATATATTACGCACGATCTTTGCTTCTTGAAAATTTGATTCACAAATTGATTCGCTCAATTGATTTTAATTAATGTTAATTTGAGGCCCGATGCTTCATGTTTGCTCTCTAGTAAACTTATAAGATATATACTTTGCTGTCGATATGTAATTCCTTTGGAGCATTTAAACGCTTAAGTTTAGAATTCCGATGAAAGGTTTAATGCATATTAGATATGCAGTAATAATGCGTAAATTGAGGTGTTTAATTAATTAATGTATTTTTAATTTCTAATGGACTCTTATGCCGTTAATTGTTGTGGCGCTAAGACCACATTGTCACCCGTCAAATCTCACACGTAACCGCATGAAATTCTCATTTATCACACCTCTATAAATGCGTCCGCTTAGCTGGCGATGGGGTCACAGTCAAGCAGTATTCCTTCGCCATGCAGTCTCGAGATGGGCTCATGTACAACTATGAGGACTTCACTTGGATACCGACCATAAGCTATAGGCTCTGTGGCTTCGATATACTCGACACGCCCAACAAGCCGCGTCCTCTCTGGATGAAGCTCTATCACTGGGCCTGCGTCTGCTCACACATCTGCTGTGTGTGCTTCATGTTCCGGCGCATCATTGAGAGGGACACAATCAATAACATATCGCTGATTATGCGCTACGCTACTCTGGTGACCTACGTCGTTAACTCGGACACAAAGTATGGGACATCGCAGCAGAAAAAGGCTTTCCAAAGGCTTAATGGTAAACTGGCTGAGCTCTTTCCCAAATCTTAGCAGTCCAAGATCGACCATAGAGTCGATAAGCACTACTGGCCACGCCCCATAATTGTGCTGATTGTGGTTTACTATGGATCGTCGGCAATGGTCGTGCTGGGACCTCTCCTGCAATCGGGGTATATATACCTGATGGAGAATCGCTTTTCTTACGTGCACTGTTATCCGTACTATATATTCGATCCGGATCAGGATCCGCTGTGGCAATATTTTCTCATTTACGCCTTGGAGTGGCTCCACAGCACCCTGATGGTCATATCGAACATGAGTACCGATCTGTGGCTGGTCAGCTTTGAAGTGCAGATTTGCATGCACTTCGATTATATAGCCCGATTGCTAGAGAACTATAAGCCCAACAGCACACGCGACCCCAAAGATCGAAAATTCATTTCGCAAATAGTGAACAGGCATAACGATTTACTAGAGTAAGTATATGCCAAACGGAAGATTTAAGAAATATTCACAACCTAAACTTGTAGACTCCAGGAGGAGATTAATGGCATCTTTGGCAGCTCTCTTTTGTTGAGTCTTCTAACCACTGCGGGCGTATTTTGCACTGTGGCCGTTTATACGCAGATACAGGGACTTAATCTGGAGGGTATCACCTATGTGGTATTTATGTTGACGGCCTCATCTCTGGTCTATCTGGTTTGCTATTACGGCGAGAAGGTCAAGACTTTGGTAATAATTATACGATAGTTGCATTTGAAGGAATATCCATTTTGGTCATCTATGCAGAGCACATATATAACAAATGCCGCCTACAATCACAACTGGTCAGATGCACCGCCGGACTATAAAAAGTCTATATTGATTATTATCGCACGCGCCCAGAGACCGGCCGAACTGACAGCCATGGGCTATCTAACGGTATCCCTGGACACGTTCAAGCAAGTAGGTAGAGACTAAAGCTCCATTGGCTATTGAATTTATATATGATTATATTTTATATTACAGGTAATGACTGTTACTTATCGGGTTTTTGCGCTAATCAGACAAATGATTGAATAAACATTTAATGTACTTTCTTTCCTTTAATATTTATTGCTTAGCACAGCATAATTCATCTACATATGTATGTATGTAACTAGCGTATATCACTTGGGATCTGTGGGCAGCTTGAAGCCAACAAGATCTGCCGTTTCTTTAACTGTACGCTCGCCACTACCATGATACTCCTTGTATAGCTCGTTGTATTTGCGCAGGCTGCTCAGATAGGTTAAATAGGTTTGGCCCAAGAAGATTGCCTCGTCGCGTGCCTTGCATAGCTGCTGATCAGTTGTCTCATATTTCTTATATTGCGCCAGAATATAACGGGCGGCCAGAGAGTCTTTAATTTTCCCTGGCGACTGAGAAGCCAGTCGTAGCTCGTGTAACAGCGAGCGTAGAACTTTTGTTGCCGTCATTTAGTAGAAACTTAGCTTTGACTTAAAATCCAAACAAATAGTAAATATTCACGATTATGTGATTGCCGAATTAATAATATTAAACAGCTGTTTAATATTGAGCTGCCACTCGGTTGACTATCGGATTTCTGTACGATTGTGGCATTGATACGCTGCCATGCTAATAATGTGGCCAGACTATTTTTTGTATACCGCGGCAAATTTGAAAAGTTTTATTACATACTGAGATTGATCAATTCAAATTTAGAATCATTATATTGGACGAGCTTATTAAATAAACCAAGACAATTCAATTTTATTAAAATAATTCAATAATTTTTAACATTGATGCAAGTCTAAAATGTATGTTCTCTATTATTTGCAAAAGAAACCATCATTGATGATTTCGAAACATTAATATTGTTGATATTAAATAGACAAATACTTGCTGGAGTTGAGCAAAATGTAGACCACTTCTCTAAAAAGTAAATGAATAAAACAGCAAGGTAAAAACAATTTTGCATTTAATCAGTTCTTATCTTAACATTGAGTGGAAATTCTGCAATGTACAATAAGAGTGTTGCCAGACTGCAAGAAGGCATGGGCATATTTATATAGTGATAGTGATCAGATGTTTTATTATACTGCTTACATACAAACATCTCAGGCAAAGTGCGCAGCGAGTATATTATTTTGCAGAAATTGTAGAGTAATATAATATAGGGACAATGAGCAAAGCTGCTAACAGTAAGTTAAAATAGTCAGTTGTTTAATATATATTTTTTAAATTAACATTCCCCGGGAAGTTTTGCGTGTTGCTTTGTTGCAGTTGAGAGCCTCGAAAGACAAAACGGCCAATGTACTAAATGCCGTTAGTAAAATTGAACTGGCTGTTAAGGAGCATAAGCCACGGCTCATAACGTTGCCCGAGTGCTTTAACTGTCCCTACGGCACCAAATACTTTCGCGAGTACGCGGAACATATTCCGGATGGCTATACGAGCCAGCAGCTGTCAAAGGCCGCATTGGATAATCAGATCTATCTCATTGGTGGCACGATTCCCGAGTTGGGAGAGAACGATGCCATTTACAATACGTGCACCGTTTGGGGTCCCAATGGCGAGTTATTGGCCAAACATCGGAAAATGCATCTGTTCGATATTGATGTGAAAGGCGGCATTCGATTCAAGGAGTCGGAGACTCTGTCGGCCGGCAACGACTTCACCATTGTTAACGTTGATGGGCACAAGATCGGGATTGGCATCTGCTATGACATTCGCTTTGAGGAGATGGCACGCCTCTATCGCAACAATGGCTGTGAAATGATTGTATACCCGGCTGCATTTAATATGACCACTGGTCCGTTGCACTGGGAACTGTTGCAGCGGGCGCGCGCCAATGATAATCAGCTCTTTGTAGTAACAACCTCACCGGCTAGGGATACCTCTGCCGAGTACGTTGCGTACGGCCATTCCATGATTGTGGACCCATGGGCCAAAGTCCAGAAGACTGCCGACGAAAACGAGCAGATTTTAGTCGATGATATTGACTTTTCTCTAGTTGAGCAAGTGCGTCAACAAATTCCCGTGTTCAGCCAGCGGCGTCTCGACCTCTATGGCACCGAAAAGAAATCCAAATGATTTATTATTGCATTTATCTTGTTACGTCTATTATATAAGAAATGTTTTTCTAAAATCAAATATTGCTCAATAAGGAATCTTCTCATTTCGAGGTGCCCGAGGCCTCTGACTCCCCAGTAGCTGCTGACATGCCGAAATGCGGACGCTGCACTTGCCCGAATAATGCGCGTATAGCTTCATCCGTCGCCATAAGTGGCTGACTAACAAATTCCAGTGCCTAGAAATAAATACATATAGGTATAAATTGGTTCCACCTGTTGCCTAGCTATTCTCCATTTGGATCTTACCTGTACGGCGTACTTCTCTGCCTCACAGAGCGGACTACTGGTGGCACTCGAAAGCTTTAAGGTCGTTTCGGGAATGCCCAATCCGGAGTGCAAGACCATGCGCTGTAGGATGTTTAGGTTCTCGGCGCTTAGACTGATTACATCCGTGGCAGGCAGATTCAGATAGCGTATTTTAGCGAGAAATTTCAGGTGCTTCAGGATGTCTAATTGAATTTCACGTATTTGATGTGTGGTGTGCATCAGTTGCTTGGTCGATTCGTTCAACATTTGGTTCTTTTGCGTCAGATCGGCTTTCCAGCGCGCCAGCTCCTCGACCATCACGCTGCTGGCCAAGAATTTGGAGCGCCACACTTCGCATTGGCTGGCCAAAAACTCGATTTGCTCCGTGTGTGTCGTCAAATTGTTGGCCGTGTCGAGCAGAGCGCGAGCCAACTGCAGCTTATCCTCGGTCAGCAGGTTGACCCGTGTCTGTAGGTCCTCGCCAACGGAAGCCACTAGCAGGCTCTTCAGCTCACTGTTCACTTGTGTCTGGAATTTATATTGCGCCTTAAAGTGATCGCGCTCCTCTTGCATTTTGGCCAACTCTTGCTTCAGTCGCTGCACTTCCTCGCTGCTTGCGCAGGTGGTATCGGTAGTTTTGGCATCGCCATTCTCTTGGATAAGTTCCTGGGTGCGCAACGTCGATACCTGATCCGCCAGAACGCCAATGTCTAAATTGTTTTTGCTAACCCTCTGAGTCCTCTGCTTAGCGGCTTGCTGTGCCGGAGTCATGGGATTCACGGCACCCGGATACGGTTCGTAAGGCACGAATTTCGGTGGTTTGGTTTTCTTATGCTCCGGCAGTGGCTCAGATGTGCTCACCAGCCTGGGCTTAAGCTGGATAAGTTCACCCTTGGGCAGCACAGGCGCAAGGCTGCGGCTCATCACGTCGGGGCGCCGGTAAAGCGTGTGTAAGCCAGGCAAAGGCAGCGAAGCACTATTACTGCTGCCCTGGAACGTCCTCGACTCAATTACCGCTTCCTGGACTATCGTGCTGTCCTTACGCGGTAATTGGGGTCGTTTAGTCTTAACGGCTTCGAAACTGGCTGACGACTGCTCTTCGTGTTCCACTTTCGCTTTGGTGGCGACGTCAATGTGTTCCATGCCATCACCGCTCGTGCGACAGGACTGAGCTCTGCTCTCGCCATCGTTTTCTAAGGCATCTGTATGCATGGTTTTCCTTTTCTTTGAATGACAAGGCTTTATATCTGTATATTTATACCTAAAAAATTTTTCATCAATTTTGTTGCCAACAAAACAAAAACAATGGAAATGAAGAGCTGCCAACTCGCTTATTAAATAGTCGAATGTTGCCAACTTACTTTTGCAGCGCTGCCAATCGTCTTTGCAGTCTTCACATATGTATATGTATAGTGAAAAATCGATCAATTTTGATTTACTCAGTGAAATTAACAACAAATTGGTTACGCGCTGCGTTATCTAAAGTTCCCGTGACGCATATAGCAGGAATTGCAGCAGACTGAATGCTCGTAAATGTCGATGTGGGCGTTCATATGCAGATAAAATCCTTTAGCATAGATGCTTTGCCGGCAGCTGTGCGAGTATGTCGACGACGGAGAGTGAGCTGCTTCGAAACATAAATGAGAAAATCGAACTGATTGAGCCTAGCACAGGAAAACTGTTTTTCGAACACAAAACTGAGCTGGTGTTTGTGAACCCGCGCCTGATGCCCCTAAAGTCTCAGGCCTTGGAGAGTCTCGAGGAAATGCATCGTGAAACTGCACGCCAGCTACAACAGAAACGCACAAAGCGCAACAACAACAACAGCAACAACAATAACAAGAAAGAGACCGCTGCTGAAGCCGATGCATTGGCTTCGGCCATCTAATAAGGATTATCAAGTATAATTATTTGCAAGCAGCTTTAAGATGGCCTACTTGCTGACCTTTGGCGTGATTGGATCACTCTTCCTGGCCAGCTTAATGCTCTATCGATATGGCAACATTCCACGTCAACACATCCTTGTCACACTGTCCGTGCTGACGGCCTGGTGTTTCTCCTTTCTGATCGTGTTTACCATACCGCTGGATGTGACATCGGTAAACGGTCTCAAATGGGAAACAAAATATACATATGTATATCTAATATGATTTATCGGTTTTTTCAGACCCTGTATCGGCAGTGCGAGGAAAAACATAAGCCGATCCCAGAATCCGAACTGGGAAACAAGGACAACGGCAGCAATATAACAACCACTCCCGCAAGCAACAATATACACCCAGTCGAATGCCAGGAACCCTGGGGCATGGTGCCAGCCTCAGTGTTTCCCAATTTATGGCGCATCATCTATTGGAGCTCGCAGTTTCTCACGTGGCTTATCATGCCACTGATGCAATCATATCTCAAGGCGGGCGACTTCACCATTAAGGGCAAACTCAAGTCGGCATTGATCGAGAATGCCATCTACTACGGCTCCTATTTGTTCATATGTGGCGTGCTGCTCATTTACATTGCTGTCAAGGGCGTATCTCTGGACTGGCAGAAGCTGAAAGCGATTGCCTCATCCGCATCCAATACTTGGGGTCTCTTTTTGCTCGTCCTGCTGCTCGGCTATGCCCTGGTTGAGGTGCCCCGTTCGCTGTGGAACAATGCCAAGCCGGGATTTACGCTGCAATACGCATACTTTAAGGCCGCGAAGCTCAGCACAGATAAGGCTGAGGCGGAGGAGCATGTCGACGATGTGCTGGAGTCGCTGCAGTGCATCAGTCGCGCTGTGCCCAACAACCATGAGCTACGACCGTGCGTCGAGACAATAATGCGAAAAGTGCCAATCGAGCTGCAAGAAAGAGCCTCTCGAAATTTCGCCCGCAGCGGTGGCAGCAGCATGGGCGGCACTACCTCCACCATTGTGCCCTCGGAGAAGGCACTCGTGCGCATACACAAGCAGGTGATCAAGTCCCTGCAGACACTGCAACGAACTGAGGCGTTGTGGAGCGTGCAGGTGAACACGGTGCTCCATCTGGAGGACGTCGCCCGCAACGTGCACTCGGCTGAACGTCGCTTCAAAACGGAATTCCCGCGCCAGCGATCGCAGCTGGAACGAGTCTGCTATAGCGCCACAATACAATGGTACTGGGAGTGCCTACTGAAGGCGCCGTTCCTCAAGGCCCTGTGCGTGGTGACGGCCACCATGTCTGCCATGGTCGTGTGGAGCGAGCTGACCTTCTTCTGTCGCCGGCCCGTGCTCTCGATATTCGCGAACGTCATCAACGTAGCCAACTCGAACAACGACTTCTTCACCATTGAGCTGTTCTCTATGATTGTGCTGTGCTACTTCTTCTACTGCACCTATTCCACCATTCTGCGCATACGATTCCTCAACTTGTACTACCTGGCACCACATCACCAGACGAACGAGCACAGCTTGATATTCAGTGGAATGCTGCTCTGCCGATTGACCCCGCCCATGTGCCTCAACTTCTTGGGACTCATTCACATGGACTCGCACATAATACAGAAGGTGAGTCAATTAAATAGCCAACGCCTCCACGATATTTAGTATTTGCTTTTGCACCTTTGCAGCGCATTATGGAAACATATTACACGCAGATAATGGGCCACATGGACGTCATTGGCATCATCTCCAATGGCTTCAACATTTACTTTCCCATGTGCATGCTGGCCTTTTGCCTGGCCACCTGGTTTAGCCTGGGCAGTCGGGCTCTGAATGCAATGGGCTTTCAGCAGTTCCTGCAGCATGAGACGATTGCAACAGAACTGGTGCAGGAGGGCAAGGATTTGATAGCGCGCGAGAAGCGACGTCGGCAGCGGGCTGAGGAGGCAATCGCCAGGCGGCGCGACTTTTCCCGACCCGATGCGCTGCCCAGCCATGACTACATCGGCAAATACAGGGGCGGAGCGACTGGAGGTGGCCCAGGCAGTGGCGGCGTTGCTGCTGCATTTGGCAGCAGTCGCACGCCGGCTGATGGACTGCTGCGAGATGGAGACGTCGGCTACGACTACGCCGCTGTGGCCTCCTCGTCGGCCCTGGGCGTGCCACGCTCACTGTCCGAGGAAATCAATGAACGCTTCGGGGTCAGCACTCAAATGCAAGTGGGATTCCGTGGCGCCAATGAGCAGGACGATGAGGAGAACGAACGTCGCATAGTCGGGCCGCCACCGCGGGGACTTTTCGACGATGTATAGAGGGCTCGAAATCTACATTCTATTGTATTTTCAAATGTGTATTGCTGTATAAGTCAATAAGATATATATTATCTCAAGTTCTTTAGTTAATTTAATTTACATTTAAGCTTTTTCGCTGCTGTTCCTGTCACAAATATTCTAATCATTTAAATAAACACAATTAACGAAAAGTCTTTCTGCGTAACGGGTATCGCCTGTAGGTCTTCTGCTCGTTGCTCCAGTTTTGCACACAGCTGTCGTCCAGCATGGAGGCCTCCGCATCCATGGAGCTACTCTTGTCGCCATTCTCCTCGTCCGAGCTGGATCGTTCACAATACGTTTGGCTCTGCAGCTCCGACACGGGATGCGGCTTGATTCTCTTGCGACCACGCACGAAGCCGCTGCGTGAAGTAAGCGGCGTATCCAGCACTAGAAGTGACATGACAGACTACAGGCGTCATAGACTCTGACAGCTCCTCGCTGAGCTGCTGCTTTGTCAAAGTTGACAGGCCCGAGGACGAAAAGTAATTCAAATATGTCAAAACAAATAATACTTTTTTAACTCGGCTTTTATTGTCTGCTACGGTTGTCGCACCATCGTTTAGGAAACAAAACATTGAACTAATTAACAAATATCTAACACAAGTGGGAAGAGTATGTATGTATGTTGTAGTCGGTCGCTTGTTTCTTCTTCTGTTAAGGGTTGCGCGTATGTGGTTGTAGCTTCGTATTTAATGTTAAACGTGTGTGTGTGTGTGGTTTTTTTCTTTTTTAATCTCTGGTTTCTAACTATTCATCGCCGCCGCCCTCCTCATCTTCATCGAATTCGCCCTCCTCGTCGGCGGTGGCCTCCTGGTACTGCTGATACTCAGATACCAAATCGTTCATGTTGCTCTCGGCCTCTGTAAACTCCATTTCATCCATTCCCTCGCCGGTGTACCAGTGCAAGAAGGCCTTGCGGCGGAACATGGCCGTAAACTGCTCGGAGACGCGCTTGAACAGCTCCTGAATGGCCGTCGAGTTGCCAATGAATGTGGCCGACATCTTCAGGCCCCTGGGTGGAATATCGCACACGGCTGTCTTGCAGTTGTTCGGTATCCACTCGACGAAGAAGCTGCTGTTCTTGTTCTGTATGTTGAGCATCTGCTCGTCCACCTCCTTCATGGACATGCGGCCGCGGAAGATGGCCGCAACGGTCAGGTAGCGTCCATGGCGTGGATCGCAAGCGGCCATCATGTTCTTGGCGTCGAACATCTGCTGGGTCAGCTCGGGCACGGTCAGGGCGCGGTACTGCTGCGATCCACGCGAAGTCAGTGGCGCGAATCCGGGCATGAAGAAGTGGAGACGTGGGAAGGGCACCATGTTGACGGCTAGCTTGCGCAGATCAGCGTTCAGCTGGCCGGGGAAGCGCAAGCAAGTGGTTACTCCCGACATAGTGGCCGACACCAAGTGGTTCAAATCACCGTAAGTGGGCGTGGTCAGCTTCAGTGTGCGGAAACAGATGTCATACAATGCCTCATTATCGATGCAGTATGTCTCATCCGTGTTCTCTACCAGCTGATGGACGCTCAGTGTGGCATTGTAGGGCTCCACCACGGTGTCCGACACCTTGGGTGACGGTACAACGGAGAAGGTATTCATGATACGATCGGGATACTCTTCACGTATCTTCGAAATGAGTAGGGTGCCCATGCCCGAGCCGGTGCCCCCACCCAAGGAGTGAGTTAGCTGAAAGCCCTGTTAACGCAATTAGTTACCCCATTCCGGGAGATTCACCTGACCTGCCCATTTGCATTTGCACTCACCTGTAGACAATCGCATCCCTCAGACTCCTTGCGAACCACGTCAAGCACCGAGTCAACCAGCTCTGCACCCTCGGTGTAGTGACCCTTGGCCCAGTTGTTGCCTGCGCCAGACTGGCCGAAAACAAAGTTATCGGGCCGGAAGATCTGGCCGAAGGCGCCCGAGCGCACAGAGTCCATGGTGCCCGGCTCCAGGTCGACAAGTATGGCCCGAGGCACATACTTGGCACCAGTAGCCTCATTGTAGTAGACATTGATGCGCTCCAGCTGCAAGTCACTGTCGCCGTAATAAGTCCCCGTAGCATCAATGCAATGCTCGTCCGAGATGACCTCCCAGAACTTGCCTCCGATCTGGTTGCCGCATTGGCCAGCCTGGATGTGCACAATCTCGCGCATGATTACGTTTACGAGTACGAGAAATTATGAAATTCAAATTTTGTTGGAAAACGTATCCGAATTTTCTGGATAGCAATTCCGATTTTATTTTTTTTCGGAAGACAGAAACCGGATTTTACTGATTTTAACGTATAATTTTCTTACTTTTTCTCTATACGTGTATCGTAGTCGAGTCGATGTTGGAATGAGACTACTACAAATTCCAAATGCTAATGTACCCTATGGAACTACTGGGATCGTACAGAATTCGAATTGGAGAGACTGGTTTGCTTAGGTTCGAGTTTTTTCGTCACATATATTTGAGCAAGTTGACTTGAATATGATTTAGTTTAGTAATACGATTATCTAGTTGTGGAATTCACTTCTATGGTGGTTGAGTTCTCTACGGGCGTCTCTAAAAGACTTTTACAAATTGGCATCCCTTAAGGTGGCTAGACTACGTGATATTGCCACAAGAATTTGGCATTCATGTTCACTTCTATTGTCTATTAGACGGAAGCACGCTTAAGGCAGAGCGTGCTTTCAATAATATCCATTGGCTGGAAGTCCGGGTCGACAAATGGCTCGTGATTCAGGCAGCGGGTTCCACCCATACACGTGCAAGAGCACAGCGACACCGTCTCGTCGTTCTCCGTCGTGTAGTTGTTCTCCAAGAGCTTGCCTTGCATATTGTACGTCGACTCGTCGTCGTAGGTCAGCGGCTGATTGCCAGCAGCCAGATTCTGTGCATCTTGCTCGTCCCGCTTGGCGTCCTCGGCTTGCCTGCGCGAGAAGGAAAAAAAAATGAAAATTACATTCTACATTTTTGGGAATAATTAGAGCGTCATACTGACATGGTCATGAATCGCAATACGAGCAGATTGATACTAGCAGCGACCACTGCCAGTCCAAACAGTATGAACACCAAGCTGAGGGCAACATATCCAGGCTTGTTCGTCAGGGCCTGGTCGTTTTGTAGAGCCACGTAGTCTCCAAATCCGATTGTCGTCAGCGTGACGAAGCAATAGTAGAAGCTGTCAAAGTAGCTCCAACCCTCATAGCGAGAGAACACTGCGGCGCCTGTTGTTATTATGATGGAGGACAGCATCCCAGTGGCCAGCATGAGATTCATTTCGGTCGCATCCGTGCACCGCGCTCCACTGGCTCGCTTCGCCCTCCTAATTATTACGGATGCAAACTTATTCAGACGCTCACCAATGGACTGGAACATGACCAGCCCGAGTGGAATGCCAACCTGAAATATATTCATAAATATGTTAGTTAAAATATCTGATTTTGTTTGAGAACATTTGGTGAATAAGTATTCCGGTTGGATCATACCATCGCATAGAACATTGTAAATAATTTGCCGGCCACAGTGGTCGGCGTGGAGTGTCCATATCCTGAAAAAGAAAAACATTATAAAACTAACATTTGCTTCTTTCCAGGCATACAGACCATTTATAAATATACTCATTACCGTTACCAATATTCAAGTTGGGTTATTATTATTACATATCAAATACAAAATATGTATGCTTATAAATACCTACATACATGGTATAAAGTATATAAATAAAATATATATATATATATAATATATGTATATTATTAATATCTATAATATATTCTATTCTAATATTTGTTTGTCTTTTCTCTAAGCTGCTGCCCTTTATATAGGACGACTATCACTCAAACACTCAAATGTTGAGCCCTGCGCCAGGTAGGGTTCGGCGGAGTCGAGCTCTAAGTGACCAACGGGAGCTCCCTCTGCTGCTTCTTAAATGTAAAACGAAGCTTGAGTGCTCTCGCAGAAAGTGTTCCCATTTTTCACCTAAGTATCAAACGATACTGAATATTGCTGCATACATATTGAGAACCTAAATGATGTTCTGAAGTTCTTCTTCGTCCCGTGTTTTTATTAAGCAAACGGAGAGACAGCTAGAGAGACGGACTGGAATATGGACAGGGAGATAGAAATACCGACAGATATTATGTTCTCTTAAGGACTAGGACTTCTGCATAGTCTGCCTCATTTTTTGGCTGTTCCATTCCATATCATTTTCAGTGTATTTATTATCAATAGACTAGACTGCTTTTTCTCATTGGCTAGATCCAGCTTTAAATAGGCTAACTTGGCAACACTAATAGAAGCACAAAAGGCGAGCGGCCATCTTGCTGGATCGCTTATGTCTTAAGGCTGTCATTTGCCAGTTTTTGTGTAAGAGAAGAGAGAGCGAGAGAGAGAGAGAGGGAGAGAGATAGAGAAAGAGTAAAGCAAATAGGAAGTGAACTTTCGCTTGGAATTTTCCGCAAACATAAATTTGTACTTATATTATTAATATTAACATTATTATTTGCATTTCTTAAATTTAATACAGATTAATAATTCCTATAGTACAATTCTTCGAGTCAAATCAAATCGAATAGCTTTAATTAATTTTGTTTAATATTTACCAATCATTGCCAGCACCACAGTGGCAAAATAAAATGCGCCAGCGAATTTCCACTGAGGTCCCGCTTTGTGTGGTTTGTTCTCTATTATTACTATTTCGATCATCCGGTAGTCTTCGGCACTCACATTGTATTTCTCAACGAAATTATTCTTTATGGCTACAGCATGAAATTAAAATTGTATCCCAATTCCAATATCAACAATCAAATTCATAGCCAATCAACAAATTTAAAAATTATCATAAATTATTATTGAATAGCACAGATCAAAGACGAAATGAAAAGATTTATTATAACAATTAGAAAATATCGAATATTATATTTTGATCTGTGCTGGTGTCGAATGTTATGAAAATGGTTTGGATTTCTTTTTTTTTTTTTCAGAATTTTTTTTTTTTTTTTTTTTAAGGTGAGAGCGAGTGCGAGTTGTAGTTAGTGTGCATTTGGATCTTGCCGGGGATATATATTAATCGCATATATATGTACCTTGCAAAAATTCCCAACGCCTCGCTTCAGTTTGTGATTCGAGCGAGTCAAAGACTGCCGCGCCGATGAGCAAATAGGTAAATGTGCAGACCACCAGCGACAGGGTTCTAACGTTCTGACGCTTCATGGCGCAATGGACAACAAATTCGAAAGCTGTTTGAGGATAGGATTCAATAAGCATTTAAGGTTAAGGCTTATTGCAAATCTCGATAGGCTGGCACAATGCACCGTTATAACTACTATCGTCAGTTTGTTTGTTTGGATACTCTCTTTATCTGCTGTCTCTGTATTAGTGTGCACGTCCTGCACAAGGATGCTGTAGAAATCGATTTACGTGTATAAACTACAAACAGCAAACCGTGCAACACTTTAATTAATGTGCCTTGTCTTCAAGCTCCGTACGGTGCTGAGCTTATAATTTTCCATTGTGCTTCAGTGATGCCGACGCTGTATATTTAATTTGCATATAAATACAATTTATTTATTTAATTGACAACCGATACGAATTGCGGGAAAATCGGGATATTTAAGACAGGGCTGTTATTGCGCGCACCCCGAAACAGGTTGGCAGCCCTACCAAATTGGTTATCGATAGTATCAGGTAATCGGCTTGCCTGGCATTTGTTTATGCGAAAAAACACGCAAGCCTTCAAAAGTTAAATAGCAGCAGCTAGGCTACTTTTGAAACACTGTGAACATCGATGTTCATTTAAAGCAGACATGGTGCGCATTCGCCGTCGTTTCGCGCTGCTCATTTGCTGTGGCTGCCTCCTTATCTTCCTCAGTCTCTATGTAATCCTTAATTATGCGGCGCCGGCTGCCAATGCCAAAAAGGTAAAGTTTACCTGTGTGTGTGCGTGTGTGTGTGCTATTTATCTTTTCGTGCGATTTCTAGCCACCCTATATTGCACTCGAGAACAAGCTCCATCAGCTGGAAAAAAGATTAGCGCAGAAAACCAATGACGTACAAAATGTACGCCACCTTCCAGCCAAAGCACCAGTTGAGACGAATGCAATGGAGGATGTTCTGGCCGTCGATTCAATAATCAATGGAGACACCGATGCCGATGCCGTGTGTGCTGACATCGTTAAGCAGGTGCCGCAAGTGGATGTGCAGATGCTGGACCTATATGACCAAATGTCCTTCGCGGACATCGATGGCGGTGTCTGGAAACAGGGCTGGAACATTAAATACGATCCCATCAAATACAATCAACATCATCTGCTTAAAGTATACGTTGTGCCGCACTCCCACAATGATCCCGGCTGGATAAAGACATTCGAGGAATACTATAATGCAGGTGAGAATGCCCTCTATGCGAATTGATTAGACAGAGCCGATTTATATAAGATATGAATTGGAATTTTCAATAATTTAAGCGTTTAAAATCCGTTTTTTACCTTTGTACCTCAGGTGTCAGATTATTGTTATTTAATAGTAGTTTAATTACCTTTGTTGAATATGAAACATATTCTGATTTGGTAAATATGTAGAGCTATTTTCAATAGTTATACTTCAAAATTACAAATGAATGTGGTATTTGCCTACATAAATATATTATTTTATATATATATATATATATATATATATAATTAACAAGGAAAACGATTTTGTATATTTACATATATACATTATTATTATGTTAATTAAATAAATAAATAGTTGGTTTGGCTAGTTCAAGGTCTAAATCCACGTCAGTAGATGCCTGCGTGTAACATTCATGTTAAAATTGAGAATAATATAGAATATATATAAATATAATTTACAATGTCTAAGTATATAATTCTGAAATGAAATATTTTTGGGTTTATTATTTTTCACCAATATATATGTAACTAAATAATACATGGGAACTAATGGGAATTTTATCAGTATTGTTAATGTATCTTGAAGACAAATTTCAAATTGCTTTTAACTATCTAATATAACTGGACTTCTTGTTACCTGCAGATACGAAGCACATCTTATCAAATGCATTGCGTCACCTGACTGAAAATCCAGACATGAAATTCATTTGGGCTGAGATTTCTTATTTTTCACGATTTTTCGAGGACCTGGGCGAGCAGAAGAAAAAGCAAATGAGAATGTATGTATGCAGAAGTATACATATTACCTTATCAAATAATGACCAACTAATATTACTGCAGGATTGTGAAGAACGGACAGCTGGAGTTTGTCACCGGCGGCTGGGTAATGCCTGATGAGGCTAATTCACATTGGCGCAATGTTCTGCTGCAGTTGACCGAGGGTCAGAGCTGGCTTAAGGAGCATCTGAACGTGACGCCAACTGCTGGCTGGGCAATCGATCCGTTCGGACACAGTCCGAGTCTGCCGTACATACTGCAAAGAAGCGGCCTGAAGAATATGCTAATCCAGCGAACCCACTACTCGGTTAAGAAGGAGCTGGCTCAGCGGCGACAGCTGGAGTTCTACTGGCGTCAGACGTGGGAGACGCGCGATAAGAATGCAATCTTTACGCACATGATGCCCTTTTACTCCTATGACATTCCACACACTTGTGGCCCGGATCCGAAGGTGTGCTGTCAGTTCGACTTCAAGCGCATGGGCAGCTTCGGACTGAGCTGTCCCTGGCGAGTGCCGCCACGTCCGATTGACGAGAGCAACGTGGCCGCACGCTCCGACATGCTGGTGGATCAGTGGAAGAAGAAGGCCGAGCTGTACCGCACCAATGTCCTGCTGATTCCTCTGGGCGACGACTTTCGCTACAAGCAGAACGTGGAGTGGGATGTGCAGCGTGTCAACTACGAAAAGCTCTTCGAGCACATCAACGGCAATCCGCGCTTCAATGTGCAGGCCCAGTTTGGAACGCTAAATGAATACTTCAACGAAGTGCACAAAACGAAGCAGAGCTTTCCATCGCTCAGCGGCGACTTCTTCACCTATGCGGATCGGGCGGACAACTATTGGAGCGGCTACTACACCTCGCGTCCGTATCACAAGCGCATGGATCGCGTGCTCATGCACTATGTGCGAGCGGCGGAGATGCTGCACGCCTGGCACAACTGGGACTCGGCAGCGGGCTTCGACCGGAAGCTGGAGATGGCGCGCCGAGAGATGTCGCTGTTCCAGCATCACGACGGCATCACAGGCACCGCCAAGACGCACGTGATGCAGGACTACGAGAAGCGCATGGTCGAGGCGCTGTGGGCGTGCCAGTTCGTCATGCAGCAGGCGGTCTATCGACTGCTCACCAAGCCTTCCATCTACAGCGCGGACTTTAACTTCTATTACTTCACATTGGACGATTCGCGCTGGCCCGGCGTAGGCGTCGAGGAGAGCCGCACAACGATCATACTGGGCGAGGAGCTGCCCACCAAGCATGTGGTCCTGCACAACACCGTTCCGCATTGGCGGGAGCAACTAGTCGACTTCTATGTCTCCAGTCCGTTTGTCGGCGTCAGTGACTTGGCTGGCCATGCAGTGGAGGCGCAGATCTCGCCCGTCTGGAGCTGGCATCACGACACGATCGGCAAGACTTTCAATCCGCAGGGATCTACCACCAAATATCGCATAATCTTCAAGGCACGCGTCCCGCCCATGGGTCTAACCACATATATATTAACAATCTCAAGTTCAAAGCCCGCGTAAGTAGCGAAATATGTGATCTATATATGATATATTATTCATATATGTATTTCGAATTGCAGTCACACCTCCTACGCCACGCATCTGCTGCTAAACAATAATCCACTCTCGGTCAACTTGGGCCAATACCCGGAGGATGCAAAGTTCGGAGAGCATCGCGAGTTCTCCTTGCGTGTGGGCACTGGACCCACGCTGGCCTTCTCGGAGTTCGGCATGCTAAAGTCCATGCAACTAGCGCCAGGCAGTGCGCCGGTGCCCGTGCACCTCAAGTTCCTAAAGTACGGCACTCGGCCGCACGGCGACAAGTCCGGCGCGTATCTATTTCTGCCCAATGGACCTGCCACGCCCATTGTGGGCAACACGCCTGTTGTGCTGGTGAGCGAGGGCAAGCTGGAGTCGTCTGTTAGCGTCGGCTTGCCGCACGTCATCCACCAGACCATCCTGCGTGGCGACGCACCCGAAATACGCAACCTGGTGGACATTGGCCTCGTCGACAACATCGAGGTGGTGATGCGCATGCAGACGCACATCGACAGCGGCAGCACCTTCTACACGGATCTGAACGGACTGCAGGTGATCAAGCGACAACGATTCGATAAGCTGCCGCTGCAGGCCAATTACTATCCAGTGCCGTCGGCCATGTTCATCGAGGATGCGAATATGCGGCTGACCCTGCTAACTGGACAGCCGTTGGGCGGCGCCTCCTTGGCGTCGGGCGAGCTGGAGATCATGCAGGATCGTCGGCTGGCCAGCGACGATCAACGGGGCCTAGATCAGGGCGTGCTGGACAACAAGCCGGTGCTACATATATATCGCCTAGTGCTCGAGAAGATCAACAATTGTGTGCGTCCGCCGACAGCGCATCCCGCTGCCTACTTGACGAAGGCGGCGCACAAGGCATCACAGGAGCTGCTGGATCCGCTCGATAAGCTAATCTATGCGGAGAACGAGTGGACGGGAGTGCAGGCACAGTTCGGCCATGAGCACGTGCCGGCCAACGAGGATCTCGATGTGGTTGTAATGCGTCGACTCACAAAGAGCACAGCCAAGCGGCAGCGCGTCGGCTGCGTGCTGCATCGCACGCAGTTGCTGCAGTGCAACGAGGAGGAGGCGCCCGTAGACACAGTGAGTTCGGACAGTTGCAAGAGCTTTTGACAGAATAATATATAAGCAATGCTCATTCTGATCTTTCAGTTTAATATTTGCAATGTGCTGCAGAGTGGAACGCAGCGACAGCGACAGCGCTGCCAGCGCACGTCCCTGACGTTCCTGCAGAATCTGGAGCAGTTCGAGTCGCAGGCGGCGCCCCCACTGTGTCCTATGGAGACTGGCGCCTACGTGATCAGCTACAGCGATGACCCTGACAGCAGCTGAACTGAATCAACTCGCAATCTCAAGCAATAATATTAATTGAATCTTGACTAGTGTAATGCATGCAATTCTAATTTATTAAGCCTCATTTTGAATCTGACTAACGATACGTGTATGTGAATTGCAGTTACGTACGTTTGCTTTAATTGTCGAATTGTAATCGGATTTGATTTTCGATTGTGGTGTATAATAATTATTTTAATTTGTTTTGTGTGATATTTCTCGAATCTGCCGATTTTAAACAATTAACTATACTGGATTATGTTCTTTGTCTAGAGCTATAATATTAGATGTGATAAGATCGCAACTACAACTTCAAATCCAGACGAAATACAAACAGAAATTATCAGCTCTTGCTGATATTGATATACATACATACATACATATGTAGATCATCATCTGTAATCTCAGAGTAACCGTGAAACAATTTAATCAACTAAAAGTAAGAAAAGATATTAATTTTAAAAAAATAAATAAATAAATATAATTCGATGATTGGTAAATCAAGATGAAGTAAGTAGACACGAATTTCAACATCTTATTATCTCA